TTGTCTAGTAAAGGAGATGTTCATATGCAAGTATGGTGTGCGTAAATGCGATGTTATCATGTAAGTTTGTCTAGTAAAGGAGATGTTCATATGCAAGTATGGTTTATGTAAATGCGATGTTATGATGTAAGTTTGTCTAGTAAAGGAGATGTTCATATGCAAGTACGGTTTGTGTAAATGCGATGTTATGATGTAAGTTTGTATAGTAAAGGAGATGTTCATATGCAAGTATGGTTTGTGTAAATGCGATGTTATGATGTAAGTTTGTCTAGTAAAGGAGATGTTCATTTGCAAGTATGGTGTACGTAAATGCGATGTCATGTAAGTTTGTCTAGTAAAGGAGATGTTCATATGGAAGTATGGTTTGTGTAAATGCGATGTTATCATGCAAGTTTGTCTAGTAAAGGAGATGTTCATTTGCAAGTATAGTTTGTGTAAATGCGATGTTATCATGTAAGTTTGTCTAGTAAAGGAGATGTTCATATGGAAGTATGGTTTGTGTAAATGCGATGTTATCATGTAAGTTTGTATAGTAAAGGAGATGTTCATTTGCAAGTATAGTTTGTGTAAATGCGATGTTATCATGTAAGTTTGTCTAGTAAAGGAGATGTTCATATGCAAGTTTGGTGTAGGTAAATGCGATGTTATGAAGTAAGTTTGTCTAGTAAAGGAGATGTTCATATACAAGTATGGTGTGCGTAAAAGCGATGTTATCATGTAAGTTTGTCTAGTAAAGGAGATGTTCATATACAAGTATGGTTTGCCTAAAAGCGGTGTTATGATGTTAGTTTGTCTAGTAAAGGAGATGTTCATATGCAAGTATGGTTTATGTAAATGCGATGGTATCATGTAAGTTTGTCTAGTAAAGGAGATGTTCATATGCAAGTACGGTTTGTGTAAATGCGGTGTTATGATGTAAGTTTGTCTAGTAAAGGAGATGTTCATTTGCAAGTATGGTGTGCGTAAATGCGATGATATCATGTAAGTTTGTCTAGTAAAGGAGATGTTCATATGGAAGTATGGTTTGTGTAAATGCGATGTTATCATGCAAGTTTGTCTAGTAAAGGAGGTGTTCATTTGCAAGTATGGTTTGTGTAAATGCCATGTTATGATGTAAGTTTGTCTAGTAAAGGAGATGTTCATATGCAAGTACGGTTTGTGTAAATGCGATGTTATGATGTAAGTTTGTCTAGTAAAGGAGATGTTCATTTGCAAGTATGGTTTATGTAAATGCGATGTTATGATGTAAGTTTGTCTAGTAAAGGAGATGTTCATATGCAAGTATGGTTTGTGTAAATGCGATGTTATGATGTAAGTTTGTCTAGTAAAGGAGATGTTCATATACAAGTATGGTTTGTGTAAATGCGATGTTATGATGTAAGTTTGTCTAGTAAAGGAGATGTTCATATGGAAGTATGGTTTATGTAAATGCGATGTTATCATGTAAGTTTGTATAGTAAAGGAGATGTTCATATGCAAGTATGGTGTACGTAAATGCGATGTTATCATGTAAGTTTGTCTAGTAAAGGAGATGTTCATATGCAAGTATGGTTTGATGTAAATGCGATGTTATCATGTAAGTTTGTCTAGTAAAGGAGATGTTCATATGCAAGTATGGTTTGTGTAAATGCGATGTTATCATGTAAGTTTGTCTAGTAAAGGAGATGTTCATATGCAAGTATGGTTTGTGTAAATGCGATGTTATCATGTAAGTTTGTCTAGTAAAGGAGATGTTCATATGCAAGTATGGTTTGTGTAAATGCGATGTTATCATGTAAGTTTGTCTAGTAAAGGAGATGTTCATATGCAAGTATAGTTTGTGTAAATGCGATGTTATCATGTAAGTTTGTCTAGTAAAGGAGATGTTCATATGCAAGTATGGTTTGTGTAAATGCGATGTTATGATGTAAGTTTGTCTAGTAAAGGAGATGTTCATTTGCAAGTATGGTGTACGTAAATGCGATGGTGCGTAAATGCGATGTCAGTTTGTCTAGTAAAGGAGATGTTCATATACAAAGTATGGTTGTGTGTAAATGCGATGTTATGATGTAAGTTTGTCTAGTAAAGGAGATGTTCATATGCAAGTATGGTGTACGTAAATGCGATGTTATCATGTAAGTTTGTCTAGTAAAGGAGATGTTCATATGCAAGTATGGTGTACGTAAATGCGATGTTATGATGTAACTTTGTCTAGCAAAGGAGATGTTCATATGGAAGTATGGTTCGTGTAAATGCGATGTTATCATGTAAGTTTGTTTAGTGAAGGAGATGTTCATATGGAAGTATGGTTTATGTAAATGCGATGTTATCATGTAAGTTTGTCTAGTAAAGGAGATGTTCATATGCAAGTATGGTTTATGTAAATGCGATGTTATGATGTAAGTTTGTCTAGTAAAGGAGATGTTCATATGCAAGTATGGTTTGTGTAAATGCGATGTTATGATGTAAGTTTGTCTAGTAAAGGGAGATGTTCATATGCGAAGTATGGTTTATGTAAATGCGATGTTATCATGTAAGTTTGTCTAGTAAAGGAGATGTTCATATGCAAGTATGGTTTGTGTAAATGCGATGTTATGATGTAAGTTTGTCTAGTAAAGGAGATGTTCATATGCAAGTATGGTTTGTGTAAATGCGATGTTATCATGTAAGTTTGTCTAGTAAAGGAGATGTTCATATGCAAGTATGGTTTGTGTAAATGCGATGTTATGATGTAAGTTTGTCTAGTAAAGGAGATGTTCATATGCAAGTATGGTTTGTGTAAATGCGATGTTATCATGTAAGTTTGTCTAGTAAAGGAGATGTTCATATGCAAGTATGGTTTGTGTAAATGCGATGTTATGATGTAAAGTTTGTCTAGTAAAAAGGAGATGTTCATATGCAAGTATGGTTTATGTAAAAAAATGCGATGTTATGATGTAAGTTTGTCTAGTAAAGGAGATGTTCATATGCAAGTATGGTTTGTGTAAATGCGATGTTATGATGTAAGTTTGTCTAGTAAAGGAGATGTTCATATGCAAGTATGGTTTGTGTAAATGCGATGTTATGATGTAAGTTTGTCTAGTAAAGGAGATGTTCATATGCAAGTTTGGTTTGTGTAAATGCGATGTTATGATGTAAGTTTGTATAGTAAAGGAGATGTTCATATACAAGTATTGTTTGTGTAAATGCAATGTTATCATGTTAATTTGTCTAGTAAAGGAGATGTTCATATGGAAGTATGGTTTGTGTAAATGCGATGTTATCATGTAAGTTTGTATAGTAAAGGAGATGTTCATTTGCAAGAATAGTTTGTGTAAATGCGATGTTATCATGTAAGTTTGTCTAGTAAAGGAGATGTTCATATGCAAGTACGGTTTGTGTAAATGCGATGTTATCATGCAAGTTTGTATAGTAAAGGAGATGTTCATTTGCAAGTATAGTTTGTGTAAATGCGATGTTATCATGTAAGTTTGTCTAGTAAAGGAGATGTTCATATGCAAGTATGGTGTGTGTAAATGCGATGTTATGATGTAAGTTTGTCTAGTAAAGGAGATGTTCATATGCAAGTATGGTGTGCGTAAATGCGATGTTATCATGTAAGTTTGTCTAGTAAAGGAGATGTTCATATGCAAGTATGGTGTACGTAAATGCGATGTTATGATGTAACTTTGTCTAGCAAAGGAGATGTTCATATGGAAGTATGGTTTGTGTAAATGCGATGTTATCATGTAAGTTTGTTTAGTGAAGGAGATGTTCATATGGAAGTATGGTTTATGTAAATGCGATGTTATCATGTAAGTTTGTCCAGTAAAGGAGATGTTCATATGCAAGTATGGTTTATGTAAATGCGATGTTATGATGTAAGTTTGTCTAGTAAAGGAGATGTTCATATGCAAGTATGGTTTGTGTAAATGCGATGTTATGATGTAAGTTTGTATAGTAAAGGAGATGTTCATATGCAAGTATGGTTTGTGTAAATGCGATGTTATGATGTAAGTTTGTCTAGTAAAGGAGATGTTCATATGGAAGCATGGTTTGTGTAAATGTGATGTTATGATGTAAGTTTGTATAGTAAAGGAGATGTTCATATGCAAGTATGGTTTATGTAAATGCGATGTTATCATGTAAGTTTGTCTAGTAAAGGAGATGTTCATATGCGGAAGTATGGTTTGTGTAAATGCGATGTTATCATGTAAGTTTGTATAGTAAAGGAGATGTTCATATGCAAGTACGGTTTATGTAAATGCGATGTTTATCAGTTTGCATGTTCATTGCAAGTATGGTTTGTGTAAAGATGTTCAGTTTGTTAGTAAAGCAAGTATAGTTTGTGTAAATGCGATGTTATCATGTAAGTTTGTCTAGTAAAGGAGATGTTCATATGCAAGTACGGTTTGTGTAAATGCGATGTTATGATGTAAGTTTGTCTAGTAAAGGAGATGTTCATTTGCAAGTATGGTGTGCGTAAATGCGATGGTATTATGTCAGTTTGTCTAGTAAAGGAGATGTTCATATACAAGTATGGTGTGCGTAAATGCGATGTTATGATGTAAGTTTGTCTAGTAAAGGAGATGTTCATTTGCAAGTATGGTGTACGTAAATGCAATGTTATGATGTAAGTTTGTCTAGTAAAGGAGATGTTCATATGCAAGTATACCTTCCATTTGTCCTTCTATTCCTTTGTTTTCCTTGTCTTTAAGTTGTCCTATTAAGAGATGTCATTCCATTTCCTGCCACCATTCATTTATCTCCTTCCATTTCTTTCTTCACTCCACATTCCTTATCTCCTTTCCTTTTGTGCCTGTTTCCATTCCTTTCCTGTTTATCTCCTTCCATTCTTTACTCCTTTTTATCCTTCCGTTATCCCTGCCTCCTTTCTTCCTGTCTTTATCTATTTTTATCTCCTTCCTTCCTCCATTTCATTTATTTCTCTTCCTTCCTCCTCTTTCTCCATCTCCTTCATTCTTTCCTCTTTGTCCATTATTTCTCCTTTTCCTCCTTCCATGTCCATTCCTGTCCACTACTCATTTCCTGTTCTCCTTCCTGTCTTCCTGTCTTGTGTCCCTGTTTATCTCTTCCTCCACTGTCCTTGTCCTCTTTATCTCCATCTTTCTTTGTTCCATTTGTCCTTCCTCCATCCTGCTGTCTGTCCTGTTTGTCCATGTCATTCCTCCTTCCTGTCTCCTTTCCTTGTCCGTTCCTGTTTGTCTCACTGGGTCCATCCTTCCTGTCTCCTTGTCCTCTTTGTGTTCCTGTCTCATTCCTGTGCCTGTGTCTCTGTCCTGGGTGTTGTCTGGTTTGTCCTCTTCCTTCTTTGTCCTTGTCCGTTCCTCAGGTTGTGTCTCATTCTCATTCTGTCTCGTCTTCCTCCATTCCTTCCATGTTTGTCTGTCTGTGTCGTTCCTGTGTCTTCCATGCGTCTCCTGTCTGTCTCGTTTTCCTTGTCTGTGTCTCGTTTCTTTGTGGCTCGTTTGTCTGTCCTTCCTCCTCCTTGTCTTCCTGTGTCTCTGTGTCTGTGTTCCTGTCCGTTCGTGTCTTGTCCTGTGCTGGGGCTGTTCTTGTCTCAGTTGGCTCAGTCTGTGTCTTGTTTGATTCTGGATCTCTGTCTCCTTGTGATGTTCCTCCTTCTGGGCTCTGTCTGTGGTGACGTCGGCGTTTTACAGGCCGTGGCCATGGACGTCTCGGCTGCTGGACAGGCTGCGTCATGTGTCATGCATAAAGCCATGCCTGCATGTGGACGTCTCATTTGCTGGACAGGCTTACATGATCAACATCGCGTTTTACATGACCATGCTCCATATGGACGTCTCTTCACTAGACAAGAGCTGCATGATGTGTCAGTTTACAGACCATGCTTCCATGTGGACAGTCTCATTTGTTCTGGACAAGGTTACATCATAATCATTTACGTGCATACATGCTTGCATGGACATCTCGCTGGACAGACTTGCATGATGACATCATGATTGCAGCATGTGAATAGACTTACATCATGACGATTTGCTTTCATGTAGATGGACATCTCATTTGCTGGATAGACTTACATCATGTGTTTGCATGGACAGTCTCATTTTGCTGGACAGACTTACATGATCAACATCATGACCATGCTTTGCATATGGATCTCATTGCTGGACAGACTTGCATCATCAGCATTCCATTCCATCCTCCTTTCCATTTCACCTCCATTCCATTCCACCTTCCTCCTTCCTATCGTATTCCATCCATTCTATTTTCCATTCCATCCATTTATCTTCCATTTCCTGTCTTTATCCATTCACTCCATCCTCCTTCCTGTCTATCCATTCCTTCATTCCTGTTTCCTTTCATTCCTTCCATTCCTTTCCATCTTTATCCATTCTTTATCCCTGTTCCCTTTATCCATTCCTTTTATCCTTCATTCCTCCATTCCTTCTCCATTCCTCCATTCCTTTCCATTCCTGTCATTTTCATCCACCACTCCTTTTCCTTTCCCTTCTATCCATTCCATTCCACCTCCTTCCATTTCCTGTCTATCCTCCATTCCCTCCATTCATTTCCCATTCTTTCCTGTCCTTATCCATTCCTCCTTCCATTCCTGTCTTTATCTTTCCCTCCATTCCTCCTTCATTTCTCCTTCATCTTCCTTCCTCTCATTTATCCTTCATTATCCATTCCTTTCTCTTTCTCATTCCTTCCCCTCCATTCCTCCTCCCTTTTTCGTTTCCTTCATTCCCCTCTTTTATCCTTCCTTTCTCCTTATCCTCCTGTTCATTTCCTTCATTCCATTCCCTCCATTCCTTTCTGTCTTTTACTCCATTTCCTTCCATCTTTATCCATTCCTTTCATTTCCATTTTATCTCCTTCATTCCTTCATTCCCCTTATCTCCCTCATTTTCCTTTCCTTTATCTTTTTCTGTTTCCTTATCCTCCATTCCTTCCTCCATTTCCTCTCCTCCTTCCTTCCATTCCATTCCTCCATTCCCCTTCCTCCTTCATTTCATTTCTCCATCCTCGTTTTCCTTCCACATTCGTTTCCACTCCTTCATTTTTCTTCCTCTTTATCCACCTTCTTTCATTCCTCGTTTATCCTTCCTGTCCCTTTTTCCTTATTCCACTCATTTTCATTTATCCTCTTCGTTTCCTCCTTTCATTCCTCCATCCATTATCTTTCCTGTCTTCCTTCCGTCATTTCCTTATCCTTCCATCCTTCATCCATCATCTTCTTTATCCTTCATTCCTTTCCCTCTTTATCCTTCCTGTAATTTCCTCCATTCTTTCCTCTTTTCCATTCCATGTGCTTTCCTGTCATTTCCATTCCATCTTTCCATTCCTGTTTCCTTCTCGTTTCCATTCCTCCTCCATTCCATTCCTTCATGTCTTCCTCTCTTCATTTCCTTGTATCCTGTCTCATTTTCCTCTTCCATCCATGTCTCCTCCATTCCTTGTGTTTCCATTCCTTCGTTTCCTGTCCTGTTCCTCCATTCCTGTCCTATCCTTCCTCCTTTATCATTCATGTCCTTCTCCTTCCTTCTCATCTTTTTATCCATTCCTTTTCTTCAAGTGTCCATTCGGCCTTTATCCTTCATGTTCCTTCCTTCATTCCTCCTTTATCCTTCCGTTTCCTGTGTGTCTTCATGTCTTCCTCCTTGTGTTCGTTGTCTTCATCCTGTTCTATGGTCTCACTTGTGTTTGATCATGGTCGCGTTACGTGATCCATGCGTCCGCATATGGTTTGTCTCAGCTGCCTGGACAGGCACCATTGTGTGGCAGGTCGTTGCATGGGCCATCTTTATGGAATGGACGTCCTCCTTTGCTGGACAGGCCACGTGATGCATTGTCGCGTTTACCTAGCCAGCTGCGTGTGGACGTCTCGGCTGCTGGACAGGCTGCGTCGTGACTTGTCGCGTTTACGGAGCACCATGCTTGCGTATGGACGTCTCCTTTGCTGGACAGGCTTGCGTCATAACGTCGCGTTTACGCGCCATGCTTCCGTATGGACGTCTCGGCTGCTGGACAGGCTTGCGTGATTAACGTCGCGTTTACGCACCGCCATGCTTGCGTATGGACGTCTCGGCTGCTGGACAGGCTTACGTCATGGCGTCGCGTTTACGCAGGCTATGCTTGCAGATGGACGTCTCGGCTTTGCTGGGACAGGCTTACGTGATGACATCGCGTTTACGCGACCATGCTTGCGCATGGACATCCTCGGCTGCTGGACAGGCTTACGTGGTGGCGTCGCGTTTGCACGTTCCTATGCTTGCGTATGGACGTCTCGGCGCTGGACAGGCTTACGTGATGACATGCGTTTACGTGCCATGCGCGTATGGACATCGGCTGCTGGACAGGCTTACGTGATAACATCGCGTTTCACGGACCATAGCGCGTATGGACGTCTCGGCTGCTGGACAGGCTTACGTGATTAACGTCGCGTTTACGTAAGACCATGCTTGCGTATGGACGTCTCGGCTGCTGGACAGACGTCATAACGTCGCGTTGCAGGCCGTAGCGCGTATGGACGTCTCGGCTGCTGGACAGGACTTACGTGATGACGTCGCGTTTGCCGTGGACCGTGCTTGCGTATGGACGTCTCGTTTGCTGGACAGGCTTACGTAATGGCATCGTCGCGCCCCTGCGGCTTGCGTATGGACGTCTCGGCTGCTGGACAGGCTTACGTGATGCCATCGCGTTTGCTCGCCACAGGCTTGCGTATGGACATCTCGGCTGCTGGACAGGCTTACGTGATTAACGTCGCGTTTACGTAAATATGCTTGCGTATGGACATCTCGGCTGCTGGACAGGCTTACGTGATTAACGTCGCGTTTGCGACCATGCTTGACGTCGGCTGCTGGACATCTGAATTTGCTGCGTATGGACGTCATCATGGACGTGCGGCTGGTATCCTGGAGCTTACGTGATGAACATCGCGTTTACGCAAGACCGTGCTTGCGTGGACGTCATCGGCTGCTGGACAGGCTTACGTGATTAACGTCGCGTTTGCGCGCCGTAGACGCGTATGGGACGTCATCGGCTGCTGGACAGGCTTACGTCGCCAACGTCGGCGCACGGCACGCCATGCTTGCAGACGGACATCTCAGCTACTGAATGGGCTTACGTCGATTAACATCGCGTTTACGCGTTATGCTTGCGGATGAGACATCTCGGCACACTGGACAGGCTTGGATGATGGCGTCGCGTTTACAGAACCGTGCGTGCATGTGAATCCTTTACTATCTGGGCGCATGACATCGCGTTTGCATGGGCCGTGCTTGTGGATCGGCTGCTGGGATGGGCTTACGTGATGGCATCGTTTGCATAAACCATTCCATGCTGGTTGTCTGTTCGCTCGGAGCTTACGTGATGGCGTCGCGTTTACCCGGACCGGCGCTTCCATGGACGTCTCGGCACAGCTGAATAAAGGGTTACGTCATCTTTGTCGCGTTTGCGGTGCCTTCGTGCTTGCGTATGGACGTCTCGCTGGACCAGACTTACGTGATCGGCGTTTACGCGCCATGCGCGTATGGACGTCGTTGCTGGACAGACACGTGAATTAACGTTGCGTTTGCGCACCGTCGCCGCCAGATGGACGTCGCTGTGGACAAGACACGTCATGGCATCGTTTACGGCTGATGCGTGGCTGCGGG